ATCCTAGCTTTATCTAACAAATATCCTAGCTTTGGGTAACACTGGAAGAAACGTAAGCAGCATTTGAGCCTGTTAGAGAAGAATGGCATTCAGTATTGTGCAACAATGATACAGAAAATAAAAAAAGCAGTGAACTTACTCTGTGACGAGGCAATTTTAGGAAATATCAGAAATGTTTACAGCTTTGAAATATATCTGCAGTGCAGAACAGGACACCAGATGTTTACATATAAATATCAGACGAAGACTGGCTGAATACATAGGGAGGAAGTGGCTTGGACAAAGGTGGGAGAATTTCCTTGACATAAATATGTCACAGATCCTACTAGCCAAGGAAGCCTTGTCCACTGGCTGGAATATCAGGCACGCATGCGTGCACGCACACACAGTTACTTTGATTCGTCGCCTGTAAAATTAAGATCCCAGAAGGCCAGGACCACTGCTCTCCTATTGACTCACTGAAAACCTTTCTAATCAGTATTGGGGGGGGGGGGCAGAGTTTCCATTGTCATAATGAGCTCAGCAACTACTTCTGTACTAACCGAAAACATTTTTACACAGCTTACACACAGCTCCATCCTTCTCCTTTTGTCCGAAACTATTGCAATGCAAGCAGATGTCTACACCGAGCTGGCTAAAGGGGAAGATTGGGATCAGGTTACCTATTTATATCTGCTTGGTTTTATTCCAGTAGATGTCTCCTAATTTGTTTTAAATTAGTAATGTAAAGTGATAGGAAAGCAAACCACATCTGTCAGAGAAGACTCCTGTGTATGGTTGAAGCATACATACGAATTCCATTCCTTTCTATACCTTGCCTTGAGACAACTTCAGGCGGGTGTGAGGGGCAAGATGACAAGAATGTACAAACAATTTTATTTTGCCCCCACAGCCGGAATAACGAGACGGACAACAGTTTGGATCAAAACAAGGGCCACTTTATTAACTATATACAATTTATTAACAGCAACCGGCAAGGGAGCACTTCCTAGGTAGCGGAACCGACAAGGCAGGTGTCAGGCTGACCAGCCTCCTTGTCTGATATGTGAGCGAGGCACCAACCCCGGTCTTGGGCCATTAATCTGGCTTGCGACCAGCAGCCCAGCCACAGGTAGCCTCCCGGGAGCGCCTACCCCCGAAACCTTACAGCCTGCAGAGAGGAGCTTACCCACATTGTTCTCCCCTCCTCCATTTCTCCCTCACAACCACCACTCTGTGAGGTAAGTCTGGTTGAGAGAATGTGACTAGCCCAGAGAATACCCAGCGAGCTTCTAAGGCAAAGTGTAGATTCCTGCCTGAGTATCCTATATCCTAGTCCTATATCCCAGTCTGACACACTAACCGCTACCCCATGCTGGGTCTCTTTCTAGAAGAGACCCTGCTGCAGGTACCCTGCACCACAAGTTGGGATCCAGCTGTGCTTTGCTTCTATAAAAGCAAGGGTTCAGATGCTAAATGTTTGTTAATGCTTAGGCTTTCACTAGATCTCATAGCATCCTGGCCCAAAATATGAACAACATGGCACATAGAAATATCTCAGTGGTTTTGACTTGGGTGTATACCAAAAAAACAACAGCTCCCAATGTTTTGGATAAAATTTTTTGAAAGCAAGTACAGAGAAACCAATGTGTGCCATAGGAAAGTTGTTCAGATGTCTCCTGCATTAGCACCAGTGTAGCCATTTACAAGCTTGTTATCCCAAATATATACTGCCTGGGGGCCTCCATAATGTAAAACTGTTTGCTGCAAATGAGATGTCAGTTCCACCCACCAATCATTAGCTTTCAGTCTTACCATCAGATATCCCCAGGCAATCTCATTATTATTATTACTGGCTGCTGAGGATGGAAGGAAGTTGTTTTAGGCCCAGTTTTATGATGTAAAGGACCTCATTACAACATAGGAGTCAGGGAATTAGACACACTGTCTTCTGATAACAGTATTTTCAGTTCAAGCAGCACAGTCAGGGGGAAGTTAAGTACTAGTGCCTTTAGCCTTTGTGAAACATTATGGAGGATAGTTATGGAGAAGCACTAAAGTATGCCCTACAGCCAGGTTATCCTTTCTATACAAAATTAAAAGGTCAAGGAATACTTTCAGTCCACTAGGAATTAAAAAAACCTAGATTTCAATATGGAGTTATCTGCTGGGAAATAGTATTCATGTCATATGTGCTGAGAATTTTGTATCTTACAACTTATAGGATGACTTTATAAAAGTCTCTTTCAACAGCAACTTAATTATCTTTTAACCAAAAAAAGGCCCCGGTCACACGGCTAGATAATGTGTGTGTGTGGGGTGTGTGTGGCTGTTCACCCCGGAGCAAAATTATGCGTGGTAGCCTGATCACACGGTCCCCCAAGGCTTCACGCTTAGGCTGTTAGCTGGCAATCACACGGCGATGCTGGAGTGTGACAAAGAAGCGGCGTGGCAAGCGTTTTTGCGTTTGTGCGCATGCGCAGTTCCGTGGAGCAGCACTGCTTTCAGTTACGTGTTTGTGCGCATGCGCTTACGAAAAACATCTGGTTTGTGACGGGATGTGGACGGGCACTGAATGCCACGGGATACTAGCGCTCCCGTGATCAGACGCCCACCCCTGCCCTGCGTTTTCCAGATACTAGTGCACTTTCCAAGGTACTTTTTTACTGCGCATCTTCGGCGGGGCGCCACAGGTTGGCCACGGGGTGTGCTACGCTTCCCAGATGTTGCGGTGTGATCACGCCCTGAAAATCTGCCTGACATTCGTGCCTTTAGGGCGGCATATCCTCCATGTGAACGGGGCCAAACTAGGTATTTTGCATGTTCCAGATTTTGATATATGCTTCAGCTTTATATACACCAACAGAAAGCTTAATAGTTAAAAAAAAAAAAAGAAGTTCTGGAAGCACACCCCCTATTCTTTCCCAGAGCCAAGGCAAGTACAATGGACTGCTGGACCCAGGTCTGCTTTGCCATGTTTAAAATCCTGGCAGCGGCCACGCCAGCAGCACTGTAGAAGGGCAACACTTAAGGGATGAATGGTCATTAGGGGAGCCAGGAAAGGATCTAGCAAACCATCTCCACCTTTGCATTTGGAAGATTTCAGCTACTCCTTGATAATATTAACTTGTAAGACGTGCTCTACATTTATAAAATAGAACAAGACAATAAATCTGCTTATCTTCTCCCTTTATGGGAGCAAGATTTCTTTATAAGCACAAGCCAGGCATCTAGCTTTTGGGAACCTCTTCTCCAGGCAGTGTAACCAAATGCCAGCTTATACTGTGGAGTGGTGATTAGAGTGCTGGACTAGGATCTGAGAGACCCCGATTCAAATCCCCACTTGGACATGGGAGCTCACCGGATGACCTTGGGCTAGCCATTCTCACTCAGCCTCACAGGGCTGTGGCTGGGAAGATAAAAATGGAGGTTGGGAGAATGATGTTCTCAGCTGCTGGGGAGAAGAGCAGAGTATAAAGATCTAAACAAATAAAGCAAACAAATTTAACTGGGAGGAAAAGAGGCTTCTCCCTTTGCTCCCCAGGTACTGAATGCAAAAAGCTACTTACTACACCATCAGCATGGAAGAAGGCACAATGTTTTGCAGCAATGGGCAGACCCCAAAGGCTAGAACAAGCAAGCCTGACTATGACAGGCTCCCAACAGGGGATAACTGAACATGGAGAGCATGGAGAGAGTGGTGGTAGAAACTGTACCGTTTGCGGTAATGTGTAAAATGAATTTGTGCTAATTTTTTTAGAAAAGATTTCTGAGTTCTGACCCAATTCCTAATGGATTCTGACAGCATCCCCCCTCCCCACACTGAACAGCACTGTACAACCAAGGTCTCCACTGCCTTCCCTTAGCACTAGGGCTGAGTTCTGACCACCACTCTGATCCAAAGTCTGTGCTCTGCTGCTGCCAATACTCAGCGGGGGGGGGGGGCACACACACCAGAATTGGTCTACAAAAATGAATATGTTATTGACTGTTAGTTTTAACAATGCAACATTGTTTCTCCATCTATAAGAGAGATCCAGGAGGCCTTAAGTAATACATAGCTTTTGAACCCAAAACTCCTTTTCATTATCAGAAAAATAAAATGGAGGAGGGGAGAGAAAAAGAGACTGGGTATAATGGAAAACCAAATCAGGAGAATCTTAAGATGAAAATGAGAGGTATTATACCTCCTGTAGGTGGAGGAATACCATAACAATATTAAAGCCCAGAATAGATATAAGTACTGGTTAATAGATAGTATCAGAAATGTTTAACAAAGAGAATCCAAGTGTAAAAATTGTTAACTGTTATTTGCTATATGGCTACCAAGCTAGTAGAAAATTTCCTTTGAAGCAGAAGTGACCAGACTGTCAGTTAAATACCTGGTAGATGTCTTTATTAGTCTTCCACTGTAAAATCTCTTACATATGTGGCTAATAAAAAACAGCTGTTATCCCAAGAGGTTGCATTATATACAACTTGAAATTCATTTCAGGAGAATTTATGAGAAAGCCAATTTGGAATGTTAGGTCACATAAATTAGTGATGACAGTTTTCTGTGTGTAAAACATTTATGAGAAGACTAGAAAGTACACAAACTTTAACAATATCATTGTAAACATCATATTCCGCTCTTTACTAGGAATGATATGTTCACATGTCACTTGTTATTAAAATATTTCTATTCCAGTCCATGGTATATTGCCTACTAATAAAGGGATTTGTGTGGTTGCTTGTTCATCGTTTGCAGTTAAGCCTTCTGTTGGCCTTTCATATAAAGTTCATATAAATGCAGAGGCTACGTTTAAAAAAATAAAAATAAATAAAAAGCAAAAATATTTGCTAGCATCTGAGATATCTTCAGAATTATATGCTGATTTCATAAAGATCAAATGCATCCACTTGTGGTCCAGTGCAATATCCAACAAATACACAAGGCCTAAATTAACAAAATTATCTCTGTGATGTTCAAACTCACAATTTTGGGATTATTCAACTGTTATTTTAAGCAGGCATTGAGAGATCGACTGTGGGCCTCAGACTTACTGGCTCCTTTCCCTTCTTGGTTCATGGAGTTTTTAATGTGTATATTTAATCATTCTTCTTGGCTTTATAAAATGTTCCAAGCCATTACATTTATAGAATAAAGCATGAACATGCTTAATTCCTAATCCTTGTTCTGAAATATATAACTTTCAAGAGGACAAATCTTATTCTGGATGACTGAATCTAGAAGGAGAAAGAAAACATTATTTAGCATACATATAAATTTGGAAACTTACAAATCATCTCTTGGTTCTGTTATTGTCCCTAACATTTAAGTTGTACATTTTAACCTATAAGCAATTCACCCTAGTTAGCCTACCACACAGCTCAATGGCCATGTGGCAATGGGCTACTTTTAGCATTCAAAGTACTTCCCATGCATTATCTTGTTGTAGTCTTACCATGGCCCTGCAAGTCAGATCTTCATGTTACAGTTGCGGAGGGACTGAGGTTGACAGAGCATGCCTGGCCTATGACTAGTTCTTGGCAGAAGCGAAATTTGAACTGGGGAACTCTCTATCATGTGTTGTTCTGAATATATGCTTGAGGATATACTGTGTTTAACTACCTTTTAAATTTTTAATAGAGAAACATCTAGGCTGAAGCTTCTATATGTATTAGGCTGTGGCAGACAGTTTGTCTGCTAGAAACACAGGAACAACAATTACAGAGGTAAGATTAGAAGTCGGCTTGTGCACTTTCTCCCTGGGACCTCCCTGTTGCAAACATTAAATAGGGAGACCCAGTGGACAACTGAAAGTGGATCTTCCTCACCATTAACCAACTTCCAGCATCACAGGAGATCCCATTTAAGTAATTATGGGATTTCTGGGTTGGCCACTCATTTCTATGCTCTATTAGCATCTGGACCCCATGACCTGCTCTTAATCTCAATGTGCACAATGAAGCATCTGTGTCAGTAGTGCACACACCCAGGGAAGGACTGTGGTAGTTAAAAGACCAAGTACTAACCCACATGGGCAGTTAAATGCAAGTCACCACAACTTCTCCTTGGCCACGCACATCCGCATAACAAAATGTAGTATGTGGATCTAGCCCCAGCAGTTTCCCTCACCACAGAGGGCAGGATAAAGTGCCTTGATGGTTACAGAAAGTCCTGTAAACGATGTTCACATGCCACTTGTTTTATACTAACATTATTGCAAAGTGAAAGCAGCCTGACAGGTGGTTGTTGAGGAAACTGAGCCTCTTGCATATAGGACATTTCAGAGGGTAGCCATATTGGTCTGCAGTAAACGTACATAAACATATGAAGCTGCCTCATATGGAATCAGACCATCAGCCCACTGAAGTCAGTATTGTCTACTCAGACTGGCAGCAGCTCTCCAGGGTCTCAGGCAGAGGTCTTTTCCAGCACCTACTGCCTGGTCCTTTAAATGGAGATGCCAGGTATTGAACATCGGACCTCCTGCATGCCAAGCGGATGCTCTAACACTGAGCCACAGCTCCTCCCCAACCACAGCCCATCTCAGCTAGTGGACTCTAGTGGCACTGGATGCTAATTGTGTGCAGGAGGAACTAACTTCGTGAAGCAGCCTCAATGGGGCACAGCACAATTAATTTAACACAGGAGTGAACTGAGACAGTGCTACACTTATTCTCAAGTTAAGAGTGAATATGGTCAGAATTTTAGAGGGTTTCTCTTACCTAGTATCCATTGCTCTGATAAACATTGTACCTCCATATGCTTCCCAACCTTGCACTTGCCAATGCAGATTCCCGCCTGACGGAGATTCTTGCACACTCTTCCTCCACAAAGCTGTATCAGTTCACAGAGTTTCTCAAAAGGTGGCTGGCTACTAAGAGAGACGAGCATTACAGGCTGATCTGAAAAGAGTTTCTGGTGACATTCTCTGCTTGATAGGTGGTGTTGGACTCGACAGATCTGTATTTAAAGGGGGGGGGGAGACAAAACCCAAACATTTTCATTTCACCACTACTACATATAAGAGGATACAATCACAACTAGTTCATAGTCTTTAAAATGGCTATCACTTAATGATCAAATGGTTTGATTTAGATAAAACATAAATCCAGATTTGTGTGGCATTGAAACAGGTTTTATAATTTTCAAAAACACTGTTAGAACAATATTATATTAAATATATATTTTATCTAGCACAATATTTTGATATTGAACATAAGCCTTCTTGGAACTATTAATATAAACATACTAAAATACTAAAATCTCACGTGGAGTAGAAATTATAAGTCCTTTTAACCCAGAATTGGTATTACTGAATTGTATTATAGTAATACCAAAAAGATCACATGAATTGATTTTGAATTCCATTATGGCAGCACATCTAGTATTTGCAAGATATTGACAAAAATCTTCAGCTTCTCACTTGAATGAATGTATGGAAAGACTGCAGGGTTTGTAACATATAACTAAATTAACATATTTAGTTAAATCAAAAAATGTACCGATCTTGAATGGATAAGAAAAAGTATTTCAACATTATCTAGCTCTCACAAAGGATATTTAAGAGCTGGAAAAAGTACAGGAGATGGCAATAAAAATGATTAAGGGGTTGGTGTACCTTCCTACAAGGAAATGCTAAAGACTCTAGAACTTTTCAGTTTAGAAAAAAAGATGACTGATGGGAGTTTTGATATATAATTATGCATAGGGAAGAGAAAGTGGGAAGAGAGAACATCTCTATCTCTGCCATAATACTAGAACTCCAGCCACCCAATGAAATTGATAGGCAATAGATTGAGGCCAAACAAAAAAGAAGAAATTCTTTAGTAACAAGTGATTAAATTGTGGAATTCATTGCCAGTGGACCCAGGGTCATGAGCATGGATGACTTTAATACAGGGTTAAACAGATTCATGGAGAAGAGGTCTTTCAACAACTATTAGTCATGGTGACTAAAGGGAAACTCCATATTCTGAGGCAGTAGACCTCTGAATTGGAGGCAATATCAGGGGTAGGCTCTTGATTGGCCCTTCAGGGCAGCTGATTGGTCACTGAGAATGCAACATGTCGCTGGACTAGATGGACTACTGGTCTTTTCCAGCAGGAATCTTCTGATGTTCTTATGATCTGTTTCAGCTTTACTTTACTGGCTGCCATTGAAATCTCCAAGCAGAATATTATAGATTCCTGACTTCAAAGTTTGAAAAAGTCTGAATGAAGTTCATCAGGTGTTGTTGGCTCCTGTCTTTATATAAGACAGGAATATCTTCATTAGAGGTCAGAAACACAATCTTGTCTACTTTTATTTGTATACTGACTCCTCCAAAATAGGAGTTCATGCAGATTCCGGTCTTATTGTCACTGTTATTCCTTAGTTGTTATTTTTGAATTGTAGTTGAATATGAATGTTATTTCTCAGTCATATTTTGAGCTGTATTAATTCTTTGTTACTGTAGATGCTTTTGTATGACAATAATAATATTCAATATATTCACAGTTTTTACTGTGGCATCACAATTTATCTAACATGTGGCATCAAGCCATCCAGCTCTGGTGAATTTGACACACTTTCACGATAGTAGCCAAACCAGTTGGTGTTCAAACATGTCTAGTTATAATGACAATCTTTCTCAGCATGAACAATAGTTAGAGCTAACGTACATGTAATGGTGAACCATAGCGAAGAGGGGGAATTCATGTCAAGGAAAGATTAAGAGAGTATAGGAACTTAAAGCCCACTCCTGAGTTCCCAGTCATGGTTGTCAGAATTACATATGCATTAGGACAATGACTGGGATTGCTTTGATGAACTGCAGACTTTTATTCATCATGAAAACACGTGATTCAGTTATATGGTTAAACAGTCAAGTTAAAATGGATATAATGCATTATGTTTTTTTTTCTTAGGTTAGGAGAACCTAGTGACAAGCATGACAAAAACTCTGATGAGTCAAAATAGCATTTTGCTTCCATCAGAGACAGTTACTGTTCTCCCATGCTGCCTATTTAGTCTAATCAGCACTATCTAAGAAGAGCAGCAATCAGCAAGAGACATTAATGCAACATTACTTTATCTAAAATTAATAATCAGACCAGAATCCAAGGGACCCTGTGCTAAAAGTGTCTTGTTGCTTTTGTTAGCCTGGAGCTCCAGAGTTTCTAAAGTGAAGCTGATTAGAACTGACTAACTCTGTTTATGTTAAGGCCCTTTCCTAGAAGGAGCATTTATACAATGTAACTTTATTGTTATCCTGCTGTTTTACACATTTGCAAAGACATGATTTAAAAGGATCTCCTGTGTTCTTGGTTATTCAAACATAGTTCTTAAAAGCTTTCCTTTTTTTAGGGGGATAGTCATAATTAGAAGCCATGTCATTTTCACAGTGGCCTCTATTATACTAGAAATGTGCTTGAGGTCACAAGAAAACTAAATGGATACAAACAGCTTCTATTTTACACAATAAAACCCCCAAATCAGGAAATGCCACCATTAAAAATTTCAAAGCAATGCTATAAATCCAAAGACTTATATTAGAACAGCTAAAACTGAATTGAGAACAGAACTTAAATAATTAGTTGCCATTAAATTGGAAGCATTAGCCATCTTAATCAGGAAAACAATAGGATCCACCAACTCAAACTCAGTTTATATGCAGATGATGTTATACTCTTCTTTACCAAAAATTGCCCTATGTTTAATGCTATAAGTTTAAAATGGATATCAATGTGGTTTAAAACAGACATAGAACCAGATGTGGTCCTATTGGAACAAAGCTCTGTGTTAATTGCTCTGATAAGCTAGTCATATTAAAGAAATTGGAGAAGGAGAGTTACTATGAGAAAGATAACTATTGTATTGATGGTTATCATGGTAACATGGAAGAAGTTTAATTGTAAGTAAGATCTACAGATCTCACAAATGATATCAGTGGTAAGGGAACTAGCCAACAGAATTGACTGGCATGAAAGAGACTGTATACATTGCTGGACAGGATTGCTCCTGTGATCTCTCCTTTTCCTTTTACTCCCTTAGAAGGGAACAGTTGGGTAATTAAAGACTCTAAAGCCAGTTTGGTGTAGTGGTTAAGTGGGCGGACTCTCATCTGGGAGAACCGGGTTTGAGTCCCCACTCCTCCGCTTGCACCTGCTGAACGAACTCTGTGGGCTCTCAGAATCAAGCTGTATGGTTGATTTCTAGGACACATTTTTTGATCAGAGAAAATGCTTTGGATTTGCCCATCTCAAAAATATTATCAATCAACATTCCAATTATCATCAGTATTTCATCCAGGGCTTTCATACAAGTCAATTTGTGGGTGTCCTGATTTAGAGCATCTAACAAACCATCTTCAGCATAGAGCAGTTTTAATCTCAGTTTAAAGCAGCCCCATGGCTAGGGATATTTTGGGGAGGGGGCCTGGGGGGCCCCACCACCTAATTAAATCAAAGTTAATTAGTGAAACTCCTTAGAAGCCAGTCTTCCCCTAAGGCATCCCTGCACCCCCACCAGACTCCAGAGCAAGGGAGGGGTAATGTCCAGCAGCCGCAGCTCCCCCCCCCCCCGAGCACTGCATACCTCCTCAAGTTGTGAAGCTAGGCAGAGAGAAGCAGGCAGCGGGCAGCAGCATTCAGGAGGGGGATTGGCAGGGGAGGGGGGAGAAAGAGATCTGATGGTGGGAGTGGGAAGAGGAAGCAGGACGCACTCTCCAGCCCACTCACTCAGGCTAGCACAGCAAGTCTGCCTGCTCGCCCACTGTCATGGGCAATGGCGACGGCGCTGAGTCCCCACCCGAGTTGGCATCGCAGCCAGAGGCGCTGGCATTGCCAGAACCAGAAGCCGGCCCCTCTGACTCCTCACAAGTTGATAGCTTGCCAGCGCCTGAGCCTGTAAACCCCGCACCTGGTCCTGCAGCAGCCGAGGAGGCACAGGTGCAATCAGGGAGCCCACCTGACTCACCTCCGTTGGTGGCTCAGCTAAGGGAGTGGCTCTGCAGAGACTTAGCCACCCACCGTTGAGATGCACGCTGGCAGGGAAGGCAAGCGCCGAGTCCTGAGTATTAGGCAGGAGCACCGCCGTTGCCACGGGAAGCCTGGCCAGAGGCCTATATAACTCCCACTCAGGACTGGGCTCTCGTGAAAGCAATGAGTCGCCTCCGTGGGTGCCTTTTATCCACCTTCGGCTCCTGTCCTTGGACTCCCACTCTGGCTCAGATTCCTGGCTTCCCGACTCCTGCTTGGGACGACCCCTCTTTCGGACTCACAATTTTGCTCTCACTCTGACTCTCCTGGCAACGACTTAGGACTTGACTTCTGCCTCTCATCCCAAGCCCAGCCCGTGACAGTTTGCTTCCACCCCAAACTTGCCCACAAGATGGAGGGGGCAGCTGGAGGGTCCGTGGAACTGGCTGAGTTACATCTTCAAATGCAGCAACTCATGCAAGTGATTTCTCACCTGCAGCAACAGCAAGTGCAGCAGCAAGCTGCCGCTCCGCCAAAATGCCGGTGAGTTCCGCCGGTTGGCGGAATTGTGGAGGAGTTCCCTGCTTTCCTGGTACAGTGCAAGTTGTATATTGAACTGCGTGCCCAGGACTTTCCCACTGACAAAATGAAGGTCTGCTTCATTAACAGTTTGTTAAAGGGACAGGCAGCCAAATGGGCTACCCCCTGGTTGTGGCTCCGTCTCCCCTGCTGGACAACTACTCTGGCTTCTTTGACCACCTGTCTGCTGCAGGCAGCTGCGGCTAATTGGAAAATACAAGCTCTGAGGCAGGGGAGGGGATCTGTTGCCCATTATTGATCTGACCGCCCCCTAAGAGCAGAATGTCTGAGATCAGTGGAATGAAGATGTAAACACTGGATGCTACGTGCCTCACGTACAGTATCATGTGTCCTATCTCAAGATGATCCACTTTAAGGCCGCAATGTATTAGCTTGTCTGATTCAATAGAGGAGTGGAATGA